AGTTAGAGCGTTCGGATATAGGGAGAAACATGATCTTAAAAACGGCGTGAATATGACTTGTACAGCTGCATGGAACCGGTGCGAAGGCACGCTGTGCCCTACACAGACCGCACTCCACAAGCAGATATCATTATCTCTCCTATAAAGTAAAGTAAAGCTGTCCCTGTAACAGGCCGTGAAGGCCCATAGGCTTGTGAGACGTTGAGGGTCTCACATTTTCTAGACAATCGGCTCACAGATGGCGGTAAGGTTGTCAGCCTTACAGAAAAAACTATTTAATTAATTCCCGGTACTCATTTCTGTCGGAGGCTGAGTCGACCCCAGAGCCACAGCGTGGCCGGAAGGATTAGGTCAATTGAAAAAATTCAATGACGTCATCGGGACTTGAACCCGCGACCTTCCGGCTTGTAGCATAATGCCTCAACCAACTACACTACCGCGTACACCGCTATACATCACAAAATTCGTAATCATCTCGGGGTCCGTGCTTACGTGATTCCGACATAGTGGTGAAACTTATGCGCTTAAATATGATAAATGTCATTACACGTTTAATATATATACGTACGTACCACCTGATTTAAGACACTAATATTCTGCATTCTGCCCACGCAGAATGCCTCGTATGGTTCTCTCAACAAACAGCGACTGTTCCCGTGAACAGCATTAACCGGCTGGGCTTTGTAGCGGAGACGTAATGTGTTTCCTGTGAGGTACGGACTGAATTCTTATACATTATTAAGATCAGCTTCATGCCATGGTTTTCTTCTGTGTTTAAGCAAATGTCCAGATATTTCCCACGCTCCCCCTTACTACTGCGTGATTCTCACGTCGCCCTTGCGATTTAAATTCATAAAAATTACAACTCCTGTTCTGTAATGGCCAGCAAATTACCTTCCCGAATTATGCAATTCACCATTAAATCAGAATCCCGCGGCCCCTGGCTCTAACCATCCTAACTTGAGTCCACCACACTGCCCTTATGAGAAGGACTAGCGGGCGAAGCCTGGGAACCTTCCAACAGAACAATGCTCTCTCTCTCTCCCCCCGCCCCCCAGTGAAAAGTGTTTGTCACTTCCCCTTTAACTTCAAACTTCAAAGGGTTAAAACGTTGCCTCGGTTTAACGAAACAGAGCGTCAAGACACATTTTGTGGCCCACACACATCATGAATTCGCAGGTTTTTTACCTGGGACTGCTCATAACCAAAACACGAAACTTGAAGTTTTCACCGCTGTGGATATACATATTGCGGTCTTCTGGGTTATGACACCGTGTAGTCTGGTAGGTGGGTACCAACGTTTCGGAAGCACATACCACACTCAGTCTTCGGGATGGATGAAGAGGGCAAGTTCCTCCGAGATATCAGTACCCACCTACCAGACTACACGGTGTCATAACATAAAAGGCGAAAATATGAATTATTTCCAAAGTCCATCATGTCTTATCTTCAATCCAATCATACGTATTTATCGCACTGTGCTTAGACATAGGGACAAGTTTACCTTAGCTCTTTTCTGTGCTCAGAAATACGTTCTCTGAGGCTGCATCAACATCATATAGTCACAAGTCAGCAGAACCTGTTTCCAACACATGACGGGAACCAAACCGCAAGGCTGCAGCCTCTTCGAGGCATGAAGCACCATCACGGAGGTACTATCCCAGAATTTCATTGGAGGGACTGAGGACAGCCACGCACCGTTACCACTACGCCAACCCGCTTCCACGCTGTAGTACGTGTTCCCAAGTGCCTACGTCACACGTCTCCCCCCCCTCGTCGCCCTCACGGTTGTCAACTGTTTCTAGTGACTTCCAGCGGAAGTGCTCGGCGAGGTTACGAACCTTCTCGATAATCGATTGTTCTATATTCTGCTGTATTATCCAGCACATACATGCTGCATGTCCTTCCTAGCACCAAATCATCCTTTCATCCGACGCTACATAACCTCATCTACTGGACAGCTCTGTAACAATCAACCAGACTACACGTCATCACAACCTTTAAGCTGCACTCCCATACAGAACTATCCGCGTGCTCTGCTAATTGCTCTCTTCGACCCTGAAGATGGAGATTGTACGCTCGTGCGTAACGCCTGTAAAATTCTACCAGGCTATTCGGCGTCACATCGCTGAGAGTATTCTCCAGTACAGCAGAAGAAATTTCTTTCGATAGGCTTAAGCCAGTCAGGGCAGAAGAATTCGGTTATAAGTTATCTCGTTCATAGCACGGAGATGGTTAAATAAAAGTAGGTTATATTAAGAAAGCAGTCTTCTGGGATTTGGCACCGTGTATATGTGGTGTTAACCGACGTTTCGGAGGAACGTATCGCCTCCATCTTCAGGGTAGAAGAAAAAGTATAAGAAATCTGCAAGCGACAAGACCGTGAGAACGGTAAAACTCACGGTCTTGTCGCTTGCAGATTTCTTATACTTTTTCTTCTACCCTGAAGATGGAGGCGATACGTTCCTCCGAAACGTCGGTTAACACCACATATACACGGTGCCAAATCCCAGAAGACTGCTTTCTTCATAGTCACCGCCGTGAAAGCCTCAAATCTTACATAGGTTATATTAGTTTCATCACTGGATTGATTTTGTGAAACTCACCTTAAAGGTGATCGGCCATGGGTTGCGAAGGCTGAGGATGTTACTTGCGACTGATCTTAAGAAAATGGTGTCAAGGCCACTGTGCAGGGCGGGCACCGCTTCGCGACCGACAGATACCACTTGTTCGAAGCTCGTCTCCGAATTCAAACAACGGCTATGTCAGATGCTATTGGTGGTTCGTTAATGGAATCTTGGCACACTGATAACGCTGATTCGTCGGAGAGGCACGCAGCCCTCAGCAGCGCGTCATCAAAGCCGCCATGAGAGCCGGCGCGGGGCGCCGAGCCAAGTGTGTGTGTGTAGCAGCGCCTCTAAGTTCGCTTATAAGGATCGGGTCTGAATGCCACTCAAGGGACAATGACGCCTACTAACTGCAAGCATCTTAGAATCGGTAACTAATACCCGACAGACGGGTCCGGTGGTAACTATACATACCACATGTTTTAACATTACTAGACTCTGTAGTTTACTCCCACATTTTACATATATGATTCGCATGATTCTCACAAAAAAAAAACAGCGGTTATTTCTCTACACAGCATTAACCCTTTAAATACTGATTCTCTTATAAATAATATATAAACATTCAGTCCGTACCTCACAGGAAACGAATCACATTTAGAAAGCCCAACCGGCTAATATTTAGGGAGAACCACACGGAACAAACTGGTACACTTTGTGGGCATAACGCAGAGCTTTAGTAAGTTAAAACGGGTGGTACATACAGTAACCGACGGGCTTTAAAGGGTTAACCGGCTGGTGGTTGTCATGGAAACGTGGTGTTTCCTGTGAGGTACGAACTGAGTTATTAAATATTATATAACTGAATCTTTCTCATGCTTCACAGGCACCAGTGGTCCCCGTACTGCAAAGGCATCCCTCAAACCTGTCTACATTTAACTACGTCATGAAAAAAAAAACGACTGTAAAGTAGGGCTGCTATCGCATGTACTTCCGCGGTAGGAGACAGAAATGTTCCAATGTCGCCAGTTGCTACTGCTGGCTTCTTACACTGCTCTTCAGATTTAAATTCATAAAAGTTAAACCCCCTTCATCAGGAGACTAAACTACGCCGCCACTCAGTCACAAAATCGAAATTCGGCTGTCTTTGTCTACTGTCGTGACCCAAGATGTTGGTGGGTTGACTGAATTACGTTGGCCGAGCGGTAGCGTAATAATTCAGTGAAGATGATTGTCAGGTGGTTGCCTGAGCGTGTATTCCAACCACGAAGGGCAAATACTCACTACAGAATATAGAAGATGTATTGAACTGTGTATATTACATAAAAGAGCTGGCGGACGTAAGTCTGGCCAGCCTTCTCCTAGCAACAACCAGACAAAAATGCACCCTTCAACTCTTCTCTTGTTCTTAAAAACTGATCTAAACTAAGGTTGCAGCCCAGCGGCCTCCGTAGTCTAGAGGTAACGTTCCCACCTGACTCGTAGTACGCGGGTTCAAAAACCCGGCGGAGGTCGTGGAATTTTTAAGGGCGGAAAAATTCAGGGAACAAGTCCTCCGGGAGGGACTTCAAGCCGTGGGTCCCGTGTCGTAGATTTACGGCACGTAAAAGAACCTCATGTTTCTAGGAGACCTCTGAGCAAAATTAGGCAACATTTCCCGCCCAAGTAGTTTCCAGTTCCTCCGGTAGATGGTGGAAGTATTAGGTACCACTGCCAGAGGAGGGGGAACATCTCTGACAGAAAGGGACTATTAGATACCACTGCCAGAGGAGGTTAGAACCTTGCTGGCAGAAAGGGGCTGATAGTAAGCACCAGTACCGGTAGGGTATGGCGACAGTAGAAATTAAAGGGGGACACACAATGGACCACTAACCGGTCTAAGTGCATGGGGAAATCCACCCCCTCCACACGGAATACGGAAAGGTTGCAGCCCAATGTCTCGAGACATGAACCCCTCACGAATCTTAAGTTATACCAGTTAGTTGAAGGATAGGTCCCAGACGAAATAATCCAGGACTCCACTGATTTATGAAAATGGCAGGGGTAGATATAACATTCTTAGAGTCGAAGCAGGTCAACCTTCTGACACGCCATAGATTTTAGTAGAGGGCATGACCCCAAGACATCAGACTCAGGGTTCCTAAAACTACAGGAGTGGTGCAAACCTTTGCGACACTACAGCGATTCACTAAACTTACCGTTTAACGTAAAATACTCATTCACGAACTGCCAGGCTAGTCAGCACTGCTTAAGCCCTGGATAACATCCGTACTCGAAACTGACGTCCCTGGCCTTTGGCTTGATATTCTCCCCCTCCCCCCTCCATTACCCAATTTGGATTTACGGAATATGTTTCCTAAAGTGCGCAACTTTGCCCCGTACTGTACACAGAGTTCCCCCACATGTGCATCCCACAATGCCCTCGCTGCCTACCTGCATAAGAGGGAGTCCGGAAGATTCCTCCACTGCCTTAGGAGCAGATGTTCGGCTTGTTTCTTCCTTGTTATCCACGAGAGCTGCCGCATTGCTGCTTACAATATCGGACATGTTTTTACTTCTTCCTTTTCAAATACGTGTAACTGCGGTCCACAGAATCACGGCCACTCGCTGTGTGATGCTGCTGACTGTGGGTCACGGACAAGTGCGAATCTGTTCAACTCACAAACTACAAATTTCCCCCGCGGGGGTAATAAACTTGTGCAACACTAACCAACAGACTTTCCTCAAACGGACCACACGCCACACTGTCGGTCCGCCGGCCGGCCGGCCGACACCTAGGGCTCCCCCCCCCCGACTACCTACACACACACTGCGCACAAACCTGCGCACGGCCTCTCGACGCCCGGCGTCACATGCCCCGGTGCCCGATATACCTAGCGTCATAACAGCGAAACGCAGCGAACTATATCGCCTGTTCATTCATGCATCAACTGACGAGGTTATGTACACGTACAGCTAAACGACGTTTCAGTACACCTTTGCGATGACGTTACTAAACAACTCAATGCTGGAATACACAGCCTTTGCAGAGCTCTCTAGATTTGTATCCGGGAGGTGCTCAATTCGAATCTCGGCTGGGGCATCAGCTATCCTGACGCTTTCCGCGGTTTTCCTCAGTCCCTAGAAGCAAACACAGCTGTGGTACCTGATGTTCCTCTCCAATTCCTATCATCCGACACTATGCAGCATGAGTTACCTGCAGCGCCGCTAAATGACTATTTCACGCCTTGCTGTTTACCAGCAGTTGGTGCAAAACATGTTCATGTGCTCGGCTGCTGTTCCCTCTGCCTGAGAGAAGCACATAGGCTGAGGGTGCAGCGAGGGAAGGGGGGCCTCTTCATCAGTACTGTTAAGATGATAAAATATATAAGGGTGAGATGGGCAGGCGAAGTATCTTGCACTGGGGAAGACGACAAATACAAAGTTTAATCGAAAAACCACAAAGGAGACCTGGGCATTGAAAATGTGTTGTTAAAATGTATCTGAAATAAGCAGGGTGTGACTACTGCTCCCATCTAGTGGCTAGCTCTTGTGTTTCATAAGTGGAGGGCAATATCTGGACCAGCCGATGGGCTAGACACGGAGCTAGGATGAAATGAGACAAGAAATGCATGCATAATTTCAGTGGTGAAACATAGTACGAAAGAGACGTCGTGCACAGGTAAGGGACTGCAGGGCCCCACTCCGGCTGCAAGTGCTGCACGCCAGCGCAATAGGCTTCCTGCCCCACTGTGCGGTACGGACGGGCGCCTGTGGGCTCCAGCCATACCTGCGAGACCTTGTCCCAGTTCAGAAGAGGATCTGAGGGCAGCCTCGGCAGAAATAGCGGCCATGCTCTCCTTCATGCAGCAATTAGCGGCCTCCAGTTACATCACACAGCGGCAGTGCAGTCATAGCGCACTAGAGGACTGATTCGCGAAGTAACATATCTAGCAGATTAACTAATTAACTAGCTATGTAACAAACGAACTAAGTTACCTAAGCAATTAACAACTTAAGTAACTAAGTAATCACTTAACTAACAAACTACTTGGCTGTTTACATATCTTACTACTTAATCAGTTAACTAGCTACTTAAATGAGAAACTCAAGAATTAAGTAAGCAATTAACTAGCTACGAAACTAACTTCTTAATTAATAAACATGTCAACGAACTATTACTTAACATGCCACAAGACGGGGATCTAAACCCACTGCTTCCCTTAAAACGCCTGTCACCCTTGCACAATTCTCATGCCCGTTACTGCTCACGGTCGGGGATCGGGCTCCATTATCGTCTTCGGCCAGCAATGGAGATAATGCAAAGGCACTGATAACAGGATTATCTTCGGACGCCGCTCCTTGGCGCCAGAGCCGGAGCCGAGCCTTTGTCTCCTCTACCACATTTAGGTTCCCTAGATTACTATTATTAAGACAAGCGCTAGAACTCCTTGGATGGGGGATCAGACAACTGCCATGTCTCCAGTGTAACATTGGCAGTTAATACAGCGGGAAATTGTAATGGAAAATTTTCCTGAAGTGAGTGAGAAAAAACCACGTGAAACCATCTAGAATATGACATAGTGTAATTTGGTAAATCTGCACCAAACTACACGACGTCACACCCTAGAAGATCATAATATTGGTCTTCACTGTGCTGCCAAAACTTCACATCTCACACAAAATATTATTCTGTGCGATCTACCTTCAGGTCAAGAATCGAACTGAGTAATTCCCGCGCGGGAAGCATTGCTAAAAGCAAGGTCTCGAAGTTCGTCAGTCAGCATTCATTTGTGGAAATGATCAGTGCAGAATTCGATTTTTATTTTAAATTTTCAAGTTTCCTGGCTACTAAATGTTACAAAAGAGGAAGAAGAAGAAGAAAAAGAAGAAGAGGTTGAGTGGCAAGACATGGCGATCAAAACACGTGGCTATATGAACATTATTATTAACCTTAACTATGAGTTTCTCCAGTAATAATAATTGACTTCCTGATGGGCTCTGAAACTAGATGTCAAGAGAGCCCCAAGGTGAACAACGGTGGGCTTGCACTGGTTTCTAAACCCCAATTAACTTTCACCTACAAACAAAGGCGCAAAACCACAAACTCCAAAACTACAACTTACGAAACGGAATTTTCTAATAAACCTTTCAATCACAGTTGTTACAATACGTACCACCTGCTTTAATGTCAAAAAATATTCCTCCTGCTCACACAATGCATTTATAACGGAAACTGTTTTCTGAGTAGTAGAAGCGCACATTTAAACATGACAAAGATTTCGCCGCAGGTGTGTGTGTGTGTGTGTCTGGAGCAGAGGGTCAGTGAGTGAGTGCCCACTCGAGTCACCACCAGTAGTGGGGCGGGGGGGGGAGAGTGACCAGTAGCAGTCAGACCACTCTTCTCGTTGAAAAAGAAGCCCCGTTTCAAAACACGTAAGTCTTGAAACGAATAAAAATATGGTCATGGGTCGCTACAGGACTCGAAACCAAGAACTACTGTGCTGGCGAGGACCAGCAGCAATTTAACAGGCCAACCGACCACAGTGCAGTCCTTCCAACGCTAACGTCAAAATTCAAATTGAACGCAGGGAAAGATTCTGCTCTACTTTCCTCTCTCTACCCTTAAAAAATAAAACCCTCAACCTTCTCCGCTTCCCAGCGCTTTACCCTGCCAGAAACGTACCTTTACCAGAAGAACGACAGTGCATTGCCTGCGAATCTTCAGAGGACGAAATCCTCCCCCTCCCCAATAAAATGTAGTGTTTCACTACTCCGCCCTCCATTCTCCCTCACATCATTTTGCATGGGGCGAGGCCTCCTCGTGCCACACTTGTGGCTACTGATATCTCGGGTTTCTGCTGATTCACAAGGAGAGATAACACATGGGACTTTGAACACGAAGAAAATGCCCATGTAAACAGAGCAGGCGGGATGGTGGACAGGCTCCAGCAGCATCGGCCGCTTGGATTCCCTGAACGCAACAGTTCTGACTACAATTCTGTGCCGCACTCAGAGAGTTACGCTCGAGATGCGCGCGCACAAACACCTGTGGGTCTTCAGGTGACGTGTCCGCTGTTGTCCTTACCCGATTTTAACCAAAATTGGAAAGTGTAGAAAAATTTTAGAGGAACTTCCCAATACAAAATTTAATTGAAATTCATTCCGCGGTTATCGAGTTTTCATAGCGGACAGCAGAATTCTCGCTGCCAGAGCGTCACTGACTGAACATGCGTGTCTTGTTGTCTCGTCGGGTCGCCGTCGCCGTCGTCGTTGTCGTCTCCTTGTACAGTGTGATTCACAGTCTCCTTACAGAAAGTCTGTACGATTCCTTGGACCGGGGGGGGGGGAGCACCGCAATGCCTATACCTGCACACACGCACACACACAAAATCGGTCCAAAAACATTACACAAACTTTCTCATGTACTCGTTCGGGCTGCTACATGCAATACCGCTATTTTCCTAATGATACTACCTATGCACAGGAACTACGGGCTGGAAAGTCCGGGTTCGGTTCTAGGAACGGCAAGCACCCAAACCGGTTCTAGGGCCCTCCCAGCCTTCTTCTATCCAATGCATACCTGAAGCGATATCCCTGCAGGTAAAGCGGCCGAGCCGTGAAGCTGACCACTCACTTCGACCTAGTGCAAGAATGGTAATGCTATACATCCACTTCCCCGTATGTCTTCATTGCAGCACAAGGACAACCTATGCAGTTCCACTTAGGGGGATGGTTCTCGCAGGTGACTGAAACTTAATTAAAATCACCACAGCCATTTTAGAGCAAATCGCAAATCTTGTGTCTGAGGGCCGTTGTGAAGGGACCGCATGTTCATCATATTCGCCTCGCACCGCCCTATGGCGGATAAATTCCTAAACAGCGGATGCGAGTAAAATCCGTCAGAAAAGTTGAAGCGCTGGTGAGGTGCACATGCACGTGTTCGTACAGACAGACGTGTGGGGAAAGGAGGCTGTAAACGTGTAAATCCACCACACTCTCCAGGTATACATTTCTTCACGATCATATAGGTACATGAAAACGTAAAAAAGAGATCAGACATTACATCCATGCACCGAGTGGGACTCGAACTCACGATCGCAGTGTTGTAGTAACATAAAACAGAACACTCCTTCTTCAGGCCTGACGCGTCATCCGTCAAACTCGGGGGCTCAGTAAGGGCTCGAGTGTAATGTGCCACTGTCAGCGTACAAAAATGGTACACTTAATTCTAGGCCGGCCGCGTCATAGCTCAAGCGGTTAGTCTCTGGCTTCGCATCGCGGCGGCCCGGGTTCGATACTGGGGCTGGTCAAATAGGATTTGTGGTGGACAAAGTGGCGCTGGGGCAGGTTTCCTCCGAGTACTTCGGCTTCCCCTGCCAATCTTCATTCCACCAATTGCTCCACAATCATCCTCACCTATCATCTGGGGCAGGTACAATAGGCTAGAAGAGGCCGCAATACAAGGGACTTAGTCCCACCCCACTAGCAATAAAATAAAATTGTTCTAGCCCAGTTCCTTGCCAGTCTTTACGGCGGCAGTGCTCACCGCCGTTGCTAACAGCTAACAGTGCTGACCGCGGAATGACAGCGAAGCGGTTCGATTTTCGGTCTGCAATTAGAAAAGGATTTCCCATAACGCTCATGATCCCTGATACGAGTACACCTCTACAACGCGGAATTGTTTTGCGCGGCCGGCCAATCAGAAGTCGCCTTGCTCACGCGCCCCTCCGTCGCACAGCGCCTACACCTCGCCACTGCGTGTCCTCGTTCTCTGCT